CAAAATTCCTTTTCGTGGTTTAGTGTCATGATGATAAGTTTCAGTACAATTGCTCCCATGAGAATAWTTTGTATAAGATAATATGAAAGAACTGAAGCTGTCTATAAAAATAATATTTAAAAAAAAAAGATTCTGAGCACTGTGGCAGACTATGTTCTTCAAATCTTTTTTCTGAAATGGGATAACTTAAGCTGTGTGCCATGAAAACTGGAAAGCAACGTGTGACAGGGAGAACTTCATCCCTTACCACAGAATGSCGGACTCCTCATTTTTTATTTTTACAAGYTAACATTGTGAAGATTTAAAAAAAWTTTAAAAACARCTTAATGGAGCGTAACACAAGCTCTGGCACTTTTTGTGATATATGATATACATGACTTTCCAGAAAAGCATCATCCAACACAAAGTTCCCTCATGCAGTAAGTGGGAACTGAACCACTGTCTCCCTGCCCTTCACAATCAGTTGCAATTTCAGAAGCCCAGCCCTTTGGCAAAGACAAATTCAGGTGTCAACTCCATGGAGGATTCTCTGTGCATTTCTCTGTGAAAAACTCTGAAGGGTAACGCTCCCTAAATTGGGTGAGCTGCCWGAAGGAGTTTGGTTGTGGCAGCACAGAGCCTGAGGGGCAGACTGCAGCACGGGACAAGAACAGCACGGCAGTCCCATGCCTCAGATAACATCATGGATCCAGTAAGAAAACTGGGTGAGAAATGTCATTCCAAAACACCCATTCATGGTGTGCAGTGCACCAACAAATCTAGGCTGCATTAGAGAAAAACTCCCATAGTTATGTCCATAGCTATCTGTGGAACTGGACAAAAGACTCGTTGAACAATGACACAGGAAAAAAAAAAAAAAAAAAAAAAAAAAAAAAAAAAAAAAAAAAAAAAAAAAAAAAGAAAAAAAAAGAAAAATTGAAAAAGACAATATGAAAAAGTTGATAGCAGAATATTCTTGCTAATGAAAAAAAAAGAAAAATTGAAAAAGACAATATGAAAAAGTTGATAGCAGAATATTCTTGCTAATATGGACTATATCACATATAAGATCAACACAAAACCTTTTCGCAGATCAGCTGCAGTGATTATTTTCAATCTGGCAAGGGAATGTTCTTTGCCTCCTTTTCTCTCTCCCCCAYCTCCTAATGCCTTCTCTATTGTCATGGCAAATTTCTAAATTTGTTTGCATTCTGCCGTTAGGTAACACCAGATTTTGAAACTCTGTCTTTCTGATTATATATATAATCCTGGTCACCAGGCAAAATTTGATATTAAGTGATGTTAAAATGATGAGATCAAAATATCTGAGATTCTAGAAATTTGACTAGTAAGGAAAGAGAACCASTCCCCACACAACACTGCAAAAAGTGGCACCATTAACCAGATGATACTCTGGTCTCAGGTCAGGAAATTTCACCAGAGCCATGATTTTATTTTCCCATAAATATTTTCAAATCCCTCTTTACTGCTAGGGTAAATACATAAACACTGAAGAATGAGAGTTTACCCTGCATGGTGTAAAATTAGTATATTATAGGCTGTCATAGTTGTTTTACAAATATTTTAGTATTAGCTTGGGCAAAGAGAGGAAACCAGCAGTCCCAATCCAGTCTTTTAGGATTCCATATACAGACAGCAATACAAAAGAAAGTGAGGGGATCAGCCCTTTGGGGATCCTCTGCAGTCAGTGATAYATGAACTGTTGTGGTCTTGACAGTAATGAAAACAGGACAGGGAAGGTACAGATCTTGAGGCTACATGTGGTGACTAATAAATCAGATRTTGTGAAGTCTGGTTTACTGCAGGAAGGTGAATTTAATGAAAATGTGTGCCTGGCAGGAGGTTCTGCAGCTCATGAACAGACTATGGGGAAGATACGCTTCTGAAGAAATGGCAGAAAAAGCCACCATCCAGGCTTGGCAAATKGACTCAAAAGAGACAATTGATGTATTTTGGCAAAAAGAGATGGGAAAAATAAGAAAGGTTACCTCTGGATCCTAGCATTTTCAGCAATATTTGCTTCTAATCTTAAATGTATACATTCATACTTTATGGACAAGGTAAAACTAACTAAAAACAAAGCAGGCTGTTTGTGCCCAAATTAGGGCATTTGGAAGTTTTTCCATGTTACATTTTGTGAACTGATTACAGCTAAATTACTTTCAGAATCAAAATATAGTATTRTCTCATTACAATAACTTGTTACTTGTATTGTCTCTTTTGAAGAAAACCTGATGTTGAAATAGTGGAAATGAAACTGTACTGTACATACACACCTGAGGTTATCAGATAAGGATAGTAAAAATAGTTAATTTTTAAAAATAGTTATTTTTTTGTTCTCAGCTGGACAGCCCGCCCTTCACCATCCCACTTCTCAAAAAGCAAGTTATTCTTCTCTCTCCTGCCTCATGGAAAAGAAACTAAAACTTAGAAGAAACAAATGTTCAMCTTATTTGTTCACAGTGTGATGAAAAAAAAATAAATAAGAAAGAAAGAAAATTTTTAAAAAGGCAAAACTGTGGTTTCCAAYAAATGCATGCAATATTGTAGATAAACATTATCCTGGCAAAAGAAGATGCTGAAAGACAGCAGTACAAGTTTCAGCAACCAACTTCATTAACCATTCAGCAACTAACTTCATTCAGCAACCAAAAACTTCATTAGCATGACTGGCCTATGTAATTTGTTCTGTTATTTTGTGACAGCAAAATTACTTTGTTTACACATAATGTCCAATGACTTTATATTCAAATCAGGTGCTACAAAAAAATCCACAGAGGGAGCAATAAAAGACCCAAGTGAAACTTCCATTTTGTTAGGTAAAGTTCTCAAAAAAAGGTAGTTTTCCTTTGCAAAATAATGAGAATTTGCTTTGATGTCCCTGAGGAGGAGTCACACCTGAAGTTTCAGCTTCCCAGTCAAAAGGTCTCTCCCATTTCATTCACATCTGTCTTGAAAAGACAGACTGTCCTGTTCTATACTTCTGTGATTGGGAGGCAGAGAAGGAAATTGAACTCACGTCTACCATCATTCCTGTAGCTCAACAAGTTGCTGAATTCCAGACTCTTTTACTTCACTTAACAAAAAATAAAGAAAACAAAATTTTATGCCAATGTGGCTGGGTTTTTTTGTTTGTTTTGTTGTAATTTTTTTTGGTTTTTTACGGTATGAACGAAGAAAATATACTTTCTTTTCAGAATCAAACCAAATTTTGTCCCTTTTCTCTGAAGCTGAACAGATAAAGAGCAACTTGCTTTTTGGGAAGAGGGATAGTGAAGGGAGAGCTGTCCAAAAACGTGAATTCACTGTTTTCACAACYCTGATCTGGTCACCTTTGCCAAAAGAACAGCTGCAGGATGAGGGCTGATGTTTGTGCTGACTTTTTCATACCTGTTGCCTCAGGTCTGTAGGACTCCAGCCCTGAGATGGAGGCTTCCTGCAGCTTCACTGCCAGCTGCTTGCCCTCTGCTGGGCAGGAAGGCCACCTGATCAGAAGGGACAGCTGTGGGACATTTGGCCCTTTAACCACAGGTCTGGAAGGGCCAAACCTCCTGCATCATCACGGAATCAATGCACCTCAGCAGAGGCTGCAGCCCAAACCCCCTCACAGTGCCAGGCCTGGGTTTGGGCTCAACCCTGATACAAGATATCTGCAGGTCTTCAAAACATCCTGTAATGTACAATTGGGCTCACAGGTTATCAACTAAAGTACAACACCCCATATCCTGACCTGCACAGAGGACTTGATGTAAATTATTTCTGTCCTATGTTGCTCACTCCCACCCTCATGCCATAGGTTGCTGCTCCCTCAAATGTGTTAATACAAATTTTRTCTTTTTAAGAAATTTACAGTAAGACAGATCACTAAAAATCTATGTTAAAGCCAGTCTTTGGGAGGGGAAGTAAAGACATTTGTAGGAAAAATCCTARAAATACATATATCTAAGACACAGAAAACCTCCTCTCCAGACTGAACCAAACACAGCTTACGGCATTCTTTTCAATGCAAAGACCACTTATRTTGCCAGAGTGTACAAGTTACTTGCCCAATTAAAATAACATAGCTTTCCTTTCAAMACACTGCTGTCCACAGCAGTTGCTATTCACAGAATAGTCACAGAAACGTTTTTGTCGATYGTTTATGTGAAAAAAAACTTCTTAAGTTTAGAACAAACTGTAGTAATAATATTGGTAATCTTCAATACTGCTGTTCAAATGTTCCAGTTACAGATTAATCCATAAATCTTTCCCAAGTTTTCACCTTCTGATTTAGTGAAGTACACTTCTGTCTCTGCAATTAACTAAGTAACAGGCAAAAACTGAACCACAAACTTTGTGCTGACACAAACCCCAATAAACAGATTGTCAGCAACAAAATTAATACTAGGAGAACTTGGAAAAGTTCTGATATTAGCACAGGAATACCCCAAGCCCTGCTTGACAGTCTAGGAACCAGGAGCAAGCTTACGTTTTGGGGGGAGCTAGAGRAAAAAGAAAAAATAAAAATAACTTTAAAAAATTAACCCATACACTTTTATCWGTACTTCATGCTTTCCCGGTGAACATCATAAAATACTGCGGGGGATAAACAGTCCAGAAAAGAGGAAGGGTTTTTGAGGCTGAACACAACCATTACCAGCGACGCCGCTCTCAGTCCCCAATAAACTGAAGGAAAACAAGACCCAATTTAAAACTGATCGCGGGAAAACTGGAATCTCAGCCTCTCTCTCATCCCTTAAACCGGACCCTTCCTTAGCCAAAGGTGGAAAGTCAGGGCTGGCAAGACGAAGCGTCACTCCCTTCCCTGCCCCTCGCTGTCTGGGGTCCCRTCCCCGCCGGGGCTGCAGAGCGGCATTCCAGGAAAGGAGAGCGGCATCTCCCAAAGCCGCACGGCCGCGGCCCCCGGCTCTGCTCCGCGATGGGGATGCAGGCGGCGGCGGCCGAGCCGCTGTGCCCCGGCGGGATGCCCGGGCTGGCGGGGCGCGGCGCGGGATGCTCACCCTGCGGTTGCGGTCGGCCTCCCGCACATCCTCCTCCTCGGGGCCTTGGCGGATGAGCGCYTTCAGCACGATGCTGTTGTTGGTGCAGCAGGCTCGGAAGAGGCTGAGCGCCTCGGGACTGTCGCGCTCGTCCCCCTCCTGGGACCACAGGTCGTCGTCGTCGTCCAGCCCSCCGGGCGGGTAGAAGGAGTCGTCCGAGGCGATGCTGCAGGTGTCGGGCAGCTCGGAGAAGTCCTCGTACTCCTCGCAGTCTTCCTCCTCCTCCTTCTCCTCTTCCTCCTCTCCGTCCGGCTCCTCGGCGGCAGCCTCCGCCGCCCCCTGCTCGGGGCTGCTCTCCGCCTCGGCGCCGGGCATCTCCTTGGCGGCGGCGGGCGCGGGGCAGACCCGCTCCCCGGCCAGCTGCTCGCCGTGCCCCGACAGCAGCACCATGCCGGCCGCGGGGCCGGGCCGCGGGAGCTGCGCTGGGCCCCTCAGGGCTCCCGGCGGCCGCCGAGCGCTGCCCCCTCAGCCGCGCCTCAGCCTCGCCGGGCTCGGCCCCGCTGCCCCCTCASGMSAGTGTCAGCCCGGCGGCCCCCCGGGCCGGGGCATGCCGCCGCCGCCTGAGGGAGAGGGTCCGCGGGGACCGGTCACCGCCGCCGGCCCGGCCCGGCCCGGGGGAGCTGCGGCCGCGGCGGGGAGCGGGGACAGGCTGCGGGCGGGCAGGGCGGCTCCGCGGAGCGCAGGCAGTTGTCAAACTCCCGGCCCGTAATCCGCTCAGCATCGCTGTCAGGGGATTGGGGCTCGGGTTTAGCGGCGGGGCGCGGTGCCGGGGCGGCGTGCGGGGGGAGCGGGCGGCTGCCGCGGCTGSTCTCTGCGGGCACCGAGCTGCAGGTGCGGGACCGAGCTCCCGGAGCGCCCCCGGGCCCCGGGAGCCGCGCTGCTCCGAGGGGACCCGCTGCCAACCCACCCGCGGGTGGCACAGGCGGCACTGGGGCGGCGGGACCCGCGGGTGGCACAGGCGGCATTGGGGGCGGCGGGACCCGCGGCTGCCACCGCCATAGCGCTGTCCCGAGAGCCGCGAATGCAGCGCAAAACTTTTTCAGGAATACAACTAGCCTGTGCGGAATTCGTCTTTTGAAATGAGTGCTGAAACTAAGGGGAAATGATTGAACAGAATTTCCATGCTTTGAAGCAGAGCTTTAGAAGCAATAATTCGTTAAATCAGCCCTGATGCTTTAGCGACTATAGAGATGTCAGGCATGTGTTTTTTTATGCAAGGCATTTGGAGATTAGATTGAGAARAATAATACATGTACAAACTGAGTTCCTGCTTTGTCACAATTCCTCTAAAATCTCTTTTCCCTTTCAAATGCCATGGATTAGCACCGTGCTCTGGCAGAGAAACAGTAGGGAGAAGCCCTTTGGCCAACAAAACAGGATATTTGCTTTCTTCAACAGCTTTTTGAAGTGAATCTCATATATTTGACATCCTTCAGCAAGTGAATGTCCAAGGTCCAAGTCCCTGTGTGATGGGAGAGAAATGCGCTGGTATTTCTTCACGAGGTGGGGCAGAGGATGATCCACACTTTTCACACTAAAAGAAGGTAGGAATTAAACACAACTGTGMGTACAGGGCCCCAGATAATAGATGTTTACAGTCTTTCAAGAAAACATTGTGTAAAACCAGACATGATGGGTAATACAAAGCCCGGCAGTTTCTTGCTGATTGCTAACTGGCGGGGTTATTCCAGTGCCCAGCAGGAGGATATCTGTAAGCAGAATTAGTATTAAATAGCTCCCTGATTGGCTGCTTCTACAAAGGAGCTAAACTGGGAAGGAAGGAGATTAAACTATTCACTCACCTCCAGACACCTCTGAGATCATAGCTGATGTRTGTTACCAGCTGTGCTCATCCTCATGCTGTCTGTCTCCCATTATTTGCTCGGGTGAAGAACAGGCCCTCACTCCGATGCTGCTCTGTGTGTCTGTTCCCAAATCAAACGCTTCTGAGCTGTATTTTCCTGCAGCACGATAGCTCTCCAGGACTCACTTTTCATGCTTACTGCCTATCAGATCCTCAAGTGTTYGCATTCACAGAGTTTATGGGCTCCACTCATTTAACTTCTGGTTTCCTTCTTTGTAAGTGTGGCCAATACACTGCCTCACAGAGTGCTACCTCTTAGAATTGCACTTGTATTTTGAAAGAACTTCATTTTAACCTGAGATCCTGCAGCCAGTGGGAAGCATTTGAATTTTCTCAGCCTGAACTTACCCTAAAAGCCTAGAAAAACTTTTGGCTCTAGTAACCTCAAATAGCAGGGAAAAAAAGGCCCCAAAATAATTCTAACTACAGGGGAACCAAAATCTTTTTTGGTGAAGATTCACCTCATTTGTATGAATTTTTAATCAAATACACTTGCTTTGTTCGTCTTACATAAATAAAATAATTCCAGAAGAATAAAGATTTTATTTATTACTAGACTGTTTTTTTTAAAAAAAGTCATATGGAAGTTGTTAGCCAAGAGGCAGGGACCAATGACTTTGAATAGGAAAAAAAAAACAACAAAAAAACAACCTTSAAAAACCTTCATGCTAGAGGGAAACCACAGTTAACAAGGAAAGACGTTTGACTCTGAAAGTCATCCTTTTTTTCTCTGTGTTTAGAGTTTACCTTATCAACTTATTAATAAAGGAGAAATGAATCTGTTTTCTCCCACAGCAGCAGTATTTCTGCAGGGACTTTGGAGATGAAAACTGTTTTCTCTCACCTCAGTATGTTACTTTCATCTCTTCTCTCAAAGAACACCTCTATATTGCTTGAGCTTTCAAAGCAAAGTATCAGACTGGAACAGGGCAGCCGTGGTGTTTCCCCTTGAATTTTTCACTTTTACAGCTGGTATTGAGATGGAATTTCAAATTATTTAACCTGCGTGCAGCTCGACAATAAGCTGTCGAAGAAAGGTGCAGCTAATTGGGCAYAAAGTGTTACAAGACTCTTTAGGATGCTGATGCAGTCATTTATCCTGTCACATAGAGGCTCCCACCAAGGCCACTCTGCTGGGGCACRATTAGAGATGTAAAGAGATGACATCTGGTTTCTTGGTTCCTTCAGTGATACAGCTTGTATGTGACAAACAGGGTTTCTTGTCACTTKTGCTTCAGTGTGCAAATCAAATCAAAAGGATGTAGAAAATGCCATAGAGTAAATCTGAAATTCTTTCAAATTATAGAAAAAATCCTCCCCTGTTTTCATGGCATTTGTAAGAGGATAGCCTCAACCTTTTATCTGGAAAAGAAACCATTTAATATAATCAAATTAATAACTGAAGTTAAATGCTGGTATTTCTAAATTTYGTATCAAAAGCAAAGAAATAAACATTATTATCTAAAAGCAAATACCCCAGAATTATCAATCATTATCATCATCTGTATCTCATCAAAATGCATTGCTAGCAATTACCAAGGCAGAAAATTAAAATACCCAGAGTAGATACCAAAGCAGACAAAAGCTTTGGTATGCAGACAAAGCTTCCTTGAAGAAACCAATTTTTGGAATGACTATAGCATGGAATGCCCCCAATTTGYCCCAAATTGTAAGCCATTCCATTTATAAAACATTCTGAAATTGAGATTTAATGAGATCTTTGTGCAATAGTAACGACAACAATAAGATAAATAGTAAGACTGCATGAGTTTTATATGTCCTTCTCACATCCAACAATTTAACCTAAGGAMAAAATTCATAAGATACTGAAAGCTATTGTCATTATTCTTAAAAGGTGAAATCTAGTCATTACAAAAACATTGGTTTTCAAAATAAAATAGAATAAATTTCATTTTGGTTGTTTATATTGTTTATGTGTCTGAAATTTACAAATAACAAGAAGCCTGTTTATGCGGTCTTTTACCTATCTGACATCTATGCACTCACTTCTGAAATTCTGAATGTATTTCTGTCTGCCTTAGTCAATCTGTCTGTAAAAATCTGCCAAATGAAAGTCTGAACCTGAGTTAGCATTTGCTGGTAAGATATTTAGGCTGTATAAGCACCTTCTGGTGCATTCCTACACGCTGGCAACTTCAGCAATTTCAATGATCTCCGAGGGTTTTACACACTCTCGGTGGCACATCAGGTAGGTTTCTCTGCATCCATTTGGCTCCTGACCCATTGCATTGTAGGTTTGTGCAGGGAGCAGGTAAAGGATGGAGCAGCATTCCATTACCTGTCAGGCCCAGCAGTTGCAGCAATACCACAGGGTTAAACATGRGAGCCAGCTCACCCTCTCTCTGCTGAGCACCTTGTGAAAACTGGGATGCACAGAAGGTGTTTCTGTGGACACTGGGCCTCTCTTTCACAGCACTTCCACCAACACCACTGAAGGAAGAATTCAGAGCACAAAACCTCTCTTGAACAACCAGCTGTCTTCAGAGATGGGAGAGGAGCTGAAACCCCCAAAAGGCCAGTGGGAGTGGGTTTGGTGGCATGACCTAAGTCAGCATCATCCCAGTGCTAACCTGGTCCACACCAAAAGTCGCAACAAGTGGTTCCTGGAGGAAATGTGAGCACCAAGGGAAACAAGCTGCTAAAAGAGGTAAGGTACTGCTTTTTGCTGACAACATCTTTTTGATTTTTGGGGAGACCTTTCAGCATTACTGCCTCCAAGCCTTGCACTGGTCCTCAAGACAGACTTTCAATCTCCAAAAGGTGGCTGCTTGAAGCTAGTCTCAAGTTAGTACATAGGCACGGATATAAGCAAACTGGTTTCTRGGGCTGTTGAGTTCTTGGCTAGGCTAGCAGATTAATAAATACCACCCTCTGTTTATTATGCCTAATAATAATAATAGTAGTAATAATAATGTATTTTTTTTTATTGCAGTGATTTGCTAGGGCTGTAGCAGAATTGCAAGCAGGCTAGCTGCTGCAAGGCATCAAAGCGCAATTAACCCTGCCAAAAAACATCAGGTGATGTACTATTGGCAAGGTATGTGTGAAGAAGGCATTCAAGGTAAAGAATTACGTTGAAGAAATGATTAAGAAAATATTCCCTCTCTATTGCAAAGAGCCAAAGAGAGACAGAGTTGTTTTCATATTTACCCGACTGGGGGTGGGGGTGTCGCGGAGAGCATTTACAAACAAACAGATTCAGCAGCACTCACTAAGACTGCCCCACTTAAAAAGTCYTTTGGAAGGAGAAAGGTTGGAGTCTCAGTTTTCCTAAGCTCTGGCCAASATTTGATGTGAAATCCTGCTTGATCTGAATAGTAACAGCTGCTAAGGAGCTATGGGTGGAAGTTGCAATATGTTTCCTAGAAACCAAAGGCTTGAGCTGAATGATGAGAACAGAGCCAGAGAATAAGAAATACTAGCAATAATCTCGTTAAATGTTAGTGTTTCCTCAGTTGCTAGTATTTTCCAGCCCTTGCTCAGTCAGATTAAATGCTGTTTAAAG